AGTAACTGGGACAACTGACATACTTTCCATTTGTATGATTACTACAATTGGAAGATTGAGTAAATTTGCCATTGCAAGTGCCATGCAATTGCCTAACTCTGATGCGAAATGACCATCATTATGAAATAAAGATGCTTCATGGTCTAACAATTGTCCAACACCAAGGAAGGGCTGGTAATCCTCTGGGTGAGAGATCCACTCATGTACTATTAATTCTCGCAGCTTATGGCTCATTTCATTTGTGTCTTTGCAGTTCATCAGTCTAAGTGACTCCAGATGGCTGACTAAATCATTTGATATTGCTTTATTTGGAATAATGCTATTGACTATTGCATATGTAATAGCCAAGAAGAAACAGTTACCATTTGGTGGAACATTAACACGGACCATGTTGAAATTTGATAGAACATTATCAAGTGCAGAAGACTCTTTGTTGCTAACTAAACCAGAGTGGAAGAGTGTTAAGCTACTTTTTGTAAAGAACAAAAAGTTTGGATTAAATCTTGCATACTGGCCAAGTGACTGAATTTGTTCACAAAGCTCTGCCATACACTTTGCTGACTTCATAACTTTATGCTGCTGCTGTTTTGCTCAAATTGGGAAAGGGTGGTGGTGAGATAGTTTAAGAAACACTGGGTTCATCTTCATCTGAGGATATGTTTGATGACATGCCATCTAAAAAGTTATTTAATTGTTCCACAATTTCTCCCTGAGTGTTATCTTGTCCATGGTTACTACAATATGAAGATAAACCAAAGTCTCCAGTTTTTGGTAGGACCACATCTTGATCAGTTATTCCAAAATGATGATTACCAGAATTACCAGATCCATCTTGATTGCTTTCCAAATGTTCAAAATGTGATTCAATTGGTGGAGTCACCCTTATTCTTCTTTGGTCTTCAGTTGCTGTTATTTTCTTTTCGTTCCATATATAAAAGAAGATGCCAAGGAGTGCTAATGCAAATTGGATTCCAATTCTTGACTTCCTCAGAGTTTTGTTAAGAACTTTATGAATTACTTCATTCCGACTGGTACCTCCAGAAGGTGGAATATCTGACAAACAACCCTTTCGGACATGAACTGATAATTTTTCAATTTCATTAATAGCACTCTGGGGGATAACCTTTGTTCCTTCATATTCTACAGATTTCTACTGTATAAGAAAGTTATCAATGTTTTTCTCAATAATACTCACTGATGGAGTTGACTTTGATCTTTTCATTCCATGGTCTGTTGGGTCCCTCAGAATCAATTTAAAGTCATGCAGCATTTGTGTGCGCAGCTTCTGAAGTGGCCCACTGCCACCCTTCTTTGGTATTTTTGTCACTACTCTCTGTATTGCATGAAAAGGATCAAGCTTTATAGACACCTCATCAAAAACAGAATTCAGTTTATGCCTCCACTGGCAACAGTTGTCAATATAGAAATGGTTAACAAAACAACCTTTAGAGGCAAGTCTGTCTTTTAAACTGGTCAACAGATCTTTAACTTTATCGAAAGCTGTTCCCTTGCAAAGTTTCCAGGCTAAAACTATGCTGATTTCCTTCATAACTATAAATTAACTGTCATACAGCTGTATCCACTTTCCCTCACACCAAAAGCAAATATTTGCAGACACTTTAAATGTATGATCAGCACTTAATGAAGAAGCTCTCATCTGACACATTCTTTTGTGGTACAGATGTTCTTTTTTAAAGTATCCCATAATATAACAGCATGTTGAAACTTTTTCTCCAACCTTGATGCCTTTCGGTGAAAAACTTGGAAATGCTTCTGGGCTTTCGTTCTTCTCCGTGAGGAAACTCATCTTTCCTACACCATACTCGTCAAACAGACTTTGATGCCAAAGGACTTGGACATCGGAAATTGTCATCCCCGCGCTTATGTGCGAGGTGAAAAACCGGAACAACTCTCTTGTGACTCCAATCTTGTGAAATAATAGAAATGGCGGCTGAAAACCAGCTCTCGATTGACATAAAATGCCTTGATCGTGACTAAGAATTTGGTGCTTATTTCGACACAGTTGATCTAATTGATCTAATGATCCATTGACTTACCACTGACTGACGCAGATCGTTTCGTGACGTCAGTTGTGAGGTTTTTACACCGAGGATAAGCCGAAAATTACGCCCATTGTTGTTTTTGTCCTCATGATTCAACGCAGTTTTTCATCTTGAGCCTTAGCGCCAACGCACTTTACGATTTGTATGCGGGGATGGCTGATTCTTTTATTTTCATTCATTAATGAAGTCGGCTTTTCTTGTCAGTAAAGGGCTATTGTGTTGATATAATAAACAATATAATACATGGTTGCTTGTAGATTCTCGTGTTCAACTCAACATTCCACTCGTTCGCTGCGCTCAATCGTAAGCTATCGAGTGACTCACTCGAAGAGAAATTCCATATCTACGCGTGCCCATGTATTATTCTCTAATTATTCAATCAAGTAAAACTGATCAGTATAGGGATGGAGCTTCGATTGTTGTAGCTTCCTCTGGGAAAGCAACTTGTCCGATTGCAGTGATGAGCTGTTATTTAGAAAGAGCTAGGCTTTCCTGCGATAGCTCTTATTTTGGTTATTAGCTTAGGGCTAAACCTTTAAGGTATTCGCGGTCTAGAGTATTAGTGCTACAAGCTTTTAAAGATATTATACCAGATATTTCTGCCATTGGTATGCATAGCCTTAGGAGTGGCGGGGCTACTGCTGCTCTAAACGTCATGGCCACTGGGCTAATGACTCGGCTAAGGACGGGTATGTTTAAGATTCTTTATCTTCACGTCTGTCGGTTTTTAAGGCTTTAGGTATTTAGTTTTCTCGTGTGTAACGCTTTTAACATATTGTAGTATCTATTTAGTTGGTCATGCCCGGGGGACCGTTGTATTTGGGGTACAGCTGGTCTGGGGTTTTCCTCCTGGGTGCAAGTGGACGAATGGGAAGGTTTTTCACCCAGCTGTTGTTCCACGACCCCATGTCAGTTAGCTTGTGATTTAGATCTTTGGAGCTGAATGTTACATGGATTGTATTTTTTTTTTTTTTTTACTAATACATTACTTCTCTATGATATGTCATCTATCCTTCAGTCTTTTCGGAGAATAAACCGAGCGCTTCCCTTGTAGCGGGCCGCACCCAAGGGTTGTGTGTGTCTTTTTGTTGGGTCAAACTAAGAGTTGGAGGAGAGCATATGCATTTATCATTTGCAGCTGTATTGATTGTGCCGCAAGACAAGTCAATGGTGATATTCTTTCATCAAACAAGTATTTGTCTTATTGAAAGCCACACACACGGTTTACAAGGAGGTATTAACGCCACCAGTTCCTCTGGAAATGTCAGCAACATTTGAATTATCTAGAAATAATGGTTATGCAAGACTGGAAGAATGGATTACTAGGTTTAAAAATGGCAGTTTTAAGGCTGCAAAAGGTTTATTAGACTTTAGAAGCAAAAATAGCAGGATTATGATAATTGAATACTTGAGCAAGTTAATGATTAAGTTATTCTGCATGCTTCTTCCAAAACTTTACTTAAAACTAATTTCGCGGACAGAATAAATATGACGCCATTCGTTTTGAATAACACACGAACATGAAGAAAACAGCACCTGTTTAAACTCGTTAGAAAACGTTCACGCATTTCTTTTAAGGGAAATGCATTAGTTAGACCGAAAGCTAAATAAATAAACAATTAACTGACATTGGTAGGGGATTTTGAGGCCACCGAGAGAAACATAGAGTTAGTAATGCTAGTAAACTTGTCACAAAAGGGTGTCGATCGCCCAGTTGAAAACATCAAGATGGAGCCGAACGCGCCAAACTAATTCTACTCGCGCATGCACAGATAAAATGCCTATACGCCTTTTATAAGTAATTTATCTAATGTCACCAGCGTAACAAAAATAAAGCTGTCATATATACAGGAAGTGATGTGTGTGTGTGTGGAAGAAATGTGTGTATAAGTAAGGAATCTGGTTGGAAGAATGCAGCAAGCCTCTGTTGACGGATCTCTATCTAAGAAATTTAACCTGAACCGGGAGGAAGGGGGTCCCACAACACACTTATGCGGACGATACAGAACTATGTGTCGTTTAATTCCTCGGAAAAAAACAGTAAGGCTGCGGCTGTAATCGAAAACAACCGCGATGTTTGTGCATAGATGAGGAATGAGTAATTGAGATTAAATGACAGCAAAACAGAGTTCTTAATCATTGGCACGGAAAGACAGCTATCGACGATGTCTGTTAACAAGATCAAGGTTGGTCATTCTGAGGTGGCTCCTGTCTCTTCAATGCGAAACTTGGGCACCTGGCTCGACTCTCACCTGTATAATATCCGGAATATTAAGGAAGTATTTGTTCTGTGAATCTACTGTATTGCCATATTAACCCTCTACTTAGGAGACTTCACTAGTTACCAGTAAAGTTGCGCATAGATTTTAAGATTCTTCTACATACATATGTAGTGAATTCAGTTATTATCATTGTAAAGCGCTTTTGGTTATTTATATAGAAAGGCACACTATACGTAATAGCGGAGCTCGCAGAGCGTAGCCCCATAATTATACAAAATAGTAGTAACCCATCAAGCCGAAAAAATTTGGATGTACGACCCTACGACCGTACGACCGTACACGGTGCTACTTTTAGCATGCGCGGCCAACTGTACCACGAGCACTGTCTTATAATCAGTCCTCTACACAGACACAGAGAAGTTGCGAATAAAAATCCATTAATATTACCACGCACTTTATCCTTGGTAGGGGCTTTAGTTTTGTTGAAGAGACGTGCGGGAAAAAAAACAATGCGAGCTCCGCTTTTGGGCTTGCCTAAATCTATGTATTAAATGATGCTGTTATGATAAATGTTGAGTCGTAATTAAATTGACATACTTTGTCATTGTGACATACTTTCAAAGACTGTTATGTCTACAGGATTTCCTGGGAATTCTCTTATTCTTCTTCTCCTGTTTCCTTTCTTTTAACCTTAGCTAAATGGCGATTGTAAACATTAATTCATCCATGAATTCATCCAAGAACAGTAAAGTGCTTGTCTGATTGTCTGCTTTACTGATTGTCTCACTTCGCTAATCTTCCAACAGTAAAGAAACGGATTTAACGTCGAGTTAAAGTAAATCAAGGAAAATGATATTTCCCTAGTGATGGTTAAATGGGATGAATGTGTTTTACTATGGCTGATGACAATATCCACTATAACAAATGGCAAATAACAAACAACCAGTGCTAACTGTACCCAAAGTGCACTATGTACTGCCTTTCTATATCGCGCAATGTTCAGTGCATTCGGTGGGCTCGGCTGTTGTTGATTTTTTACTTGAGCCTGATGACGACTGAGAGAGTGGAAAATCTTTGTGTACGAGACAATGGAGATAACCAAGCAAAATGGTACACCTAGAGAGCTATACCAAAGCGCGATACGGTCATCTAAAATGAAAGATGAAGTAGGGACGGAAGATACTACCCAAAATATACCCACACAGAAAAATGTACGCTTCAGAGTAACAATTTGTCTGTATCTCAGCCCCAACAGCAGGGCGAGAAGTCTGTCCACGCTTATGGCCATCATCGTCGACAAGGATACTCCACATAATGCATAGCTTGTCATGAAGGCTGCGTACCTTGCGTATCGACAAATACTCCAGTGTTCGTAAACTATGGACATATAATAAGTAGAAGCGAGAGGCTGGCTAACAACACCAACCATTAAATCAGTTGTCGCCAGACAACGATAAAGGAGTTTGGAGGGCGGATGAAGGGAGGATTCTTTGCGAAAGGCAACAAGGATAAGAGAATTCCCAAGAACTGCGCCAATAGAGAGGAAAATGTTGACTACCAATAGATAGAATAAGTGTTGTTGTGATCCTCTTTCCAAAGAGAGGGAACAAAGTTCTTCTTGAATTGTTTTTGTTTGCATTCCACCTCCTGTCGAATTTGTTGTTGCCATCATTCAGTGTTTTTTTCTCTTGTGGATAACCTGTGACAACAACGAAGAGTATTCTTTTTCGAAACAGCACCCACTCAGCCACGACCAGATGAACTGAGTTTTCTCAAAATAGTTAAATAAAACTTCCAAAGCAACGTTTACCCATTTCAAATGCGCGAAATAATTGTCTGTCGAGTCTAAAACGTGGATTAGGTACGAATTACATCATTTCTCAGCACAATAAATTGTAGCTTTCTTTTTCTTGTAAGTTACCTATAATTGCAACAAGGGATATATCGTTTAGACTGCTCCCAAACGGCCACAATCACTTACACATTTGCGATATGATTCAGATTAACTGACTTCCAAAGCAGTGTTTCCTTAATTGAAATGTAAATGCGGACTGTCTGTCTTAAGAAAATACCTGTCACTTTCTACCTTGCTGGATGATTGCGCTTTGCAGGTATTACCATCTATCAGAGTACCTTACTTCTCAGTAATAATTAATCAACTCTGCTACCTTTTATTTGGTTAGATTCCATAACATTCTCTAGATGTTTCTAACATAGGGAAACTTTGTTTGAAAAGAGAGAGATAATATCAGAAGTGATTTAAAATTTGTAAATATAAGGCTTAAAATTGCGAAAATAAATTTCAAGTGAGCGATCGAGCATTAAAAAAAAAAAGGAGACTTACCGTTTCCTGAAAAGGATCTTTTATATGACATTTTACCTAGGACAATCGCTTTTCTAGACAACTAGAGACAAATTGAATGTTAAAGCCTGAGAATATTCCCATCATTTCTCTTTTTTTTTCTCCTGCAGGTAATTTATAACTGCAGTCAACGAAATATAATTTCGCCCCAATAGCAGCTGCCCAGCCAAAATTACCTCCACGTCACTTTCTTAATAAAACTTACAAACAGACCCCCTCAGTGCCGTTCACTTGAACACGAAATGCTTATTCTGTCACAAGAGATGCCAATTTCTCTCAGGAATCTGTGAAAATGCTTACATGAATTAGAACTCTATATTCATTCATTTGTAACAGGTAATTTTATGACATCTTAGTCTGCCTAAACACTCTTCCGTTCTACTCCAACAATATCATGGACGACAAAATTATTCCTTCACGCAGGGGATCCGAAGCTTTTAAGGAAATTATCTTTGATAATTAAACAGTGCAGGATATTTATCATCTATGAGTGGTTTGCGAAACAACTGCGTGTTTATCCAACTAGTCAATGAATTTGCATCAAGAAGCAAAAGTATAGAAGTTTGAGATGTCACCATCATTTTACTATACAATGCAAAAAAACACATACGTAGGAGGACTTTCTTTGATTTGATGAATCATTTAAATGTTAATATCAGGATTGACATCTCGTAAGTATGAGATATTGGTTGCTGAAGGTAAACACTAATTTGAATACAAACTGGGGACTTATGAATATACATGTAAGGGTAAAGAGATAATTTATTAAACACAATTTGTTTTATTCTTATCTAACAAAGCTTTCCTTCTCTTTTTCACTATTTTTTCTGTACGCTTCACAGACGACTGAGCTCGAAACCGCAAACATTTCTCGAAAGGTACGAAATATCGTGCCACGAAGTGAATGATTCCCTAGCACCATCAGCTGATTTTTAAATCCTTTTAATCTTTATTTCCCTTTTCCTTCTACTGCAACTATACTCCCCTTTTAAGGCGTAAAATATATTATTTCACAATACAGGTAACTTAGGACGAAAAAGAAAATACAGTTCCTTGAACTGCGAAATCACGTCCAAAATAGATTTGTATGGGTTATCAGATGATTTCGGGTGCGGATACCACAGCTCGAGTAAGTTTTTAAAAGTTAACAAAATTGCAATTTGAAGTGTCTTAAAAATTTACGAAAAATCATGTGATGATCTGTTAATGATAGCGGAGCCCACAGCGCGCACAAAGAAGCCCCATACAAACGTAAAATGGTAGGAACCCATCAAGCTGAGACATGCCCATTCGACTGTCCGTTCGCACAAGGTGCTACTTTTAGCATGCGTGGCCAACTGCATTGCAAGCACGTCTCGGACGTTTCAGCATGACATGTATGCACACAGCCGAGGGAACTCTGAGTTCGAGATGATATTGGTTGATGGTACTTTTAGCATGCGCAGCGAAATGCTTTGCGTACTAATCCGCGCCAAATTGTCCGTGTAATAATTCGATATAAAAATGAAAAAAACCAAAACAAAACACCCTAAAATATGGATCAGCTTTTGTTATCAACGAAAGTGTAGCGAGTACGACTAACATACTCAATGCCCGAGGGCAATTAACTATCGCAAAAATAAAAAAAAATAATAATAATAACTCGGCCAATATTCAGCCATCTTGACCTCACGCTTAGTCAATGACGCAGATTTACAATAATCTGGTTTCTATGAAGCACCTAGTTCTTGACAGAGGAAATTGATTGCGGATTGCAACTTGACTTGAAATTAACGAAATGATTGATTGGAAAGCGGTTTACCAATCCCCGTTCAAACAAGCGAATAAAGGTTAGACCTGTTAAGTCTGATCCATCTTTTCTGGTCCTGCAGATGTACCTCGCACTTTAGCAAGAATTAAAAACTGGGTGATGATCAAACATGAATTTATGAAAAATAATTTTATACCAAAAACGTTATTTTGCTCAAAGCGCTCTCGTTTCAACAAGAAGTATTGTTGTCTCTATCTTTTTGCCAAATATTTCATTTGGATATGTTGTAAATCTTGTTATTTATTGTGTGGTATGCAGGAGAAAGTCCCAACCGCATTGCTTTCACAAGGCAAAAATCTACAAACATGAATTAAAGTAACGTTTTGGGATGGTGGTAAAAGCGATCGATGCGAAAGACGTTATCTAGGAAGTACCCACTGAAGCAAAAACTGAAATTTACCAGAAATTTGGTTTAGTACAAATATTTGTTGACATGAATCGCAACCAGTAGGGATGAATACTGTTGTATATTAGGGTTCGTCATATACTACTATAGAGTAAAGCGTGCACAGACCAAGTGCTCTACACAACTGCTTTATTAGAATGCCATGAAGTTAATTACACACAATGATATATGAGCATAATCACGTGACTGCGGTCAAAGGTGTGCTAACCAATGGAATAAAGATTATATAATAGCCAAGGTATTTATCCAAATAGGAAGAAATACTACAAATACCCAAACACAAAAGATCAATTTCGAGTAAAGAAAAGTCAGATAGCGGTATTTGTATCCAGGAAGAGTTTATAAGAAATGGGGGAAAAAGTGCGGATTTTATTAGAGAGCAAGAAACGTTTTGGAAGTATTTGTCTTACAAACATCATCAGATTTGGAAGCTAGAAATTAGCAATAGTTAACACTTGTGATATACTTTGATAAAACCGGAAAGCATTTTCCACGTAGGATTATGATGTGACTAATTTCATTAATTTGAATACTTCATTCCGACCAAACCACCCCTTAACCCAAACAGACGAGAACTGCACCATTTGTGGAAGCATAGGTGCAAAGACATCCTCAGCTTCTGAGAATGATGATGAAAAATGTGAAATAAAACCAATAAAACTTTTGGGCTTCCTGTTAAAAAGTAAATTACTGAATGAAGATTGCTGGTCAATTCCAACACCTCCCCCCACTGGTTAAATTCCAAATAAAAACTATATTCATTAATCCTTCACCTGTGCATCAAAAACTGATACGCACTTGACAACTTTATTTTTCAACCTTTTGAAATTACATGCATTCTGTGACAATCTGATGGTCTCATGAGACTTATTATCAGCCTTAAAAAGAAAGAACTTCTACAACTAATAGTATCAGTAAGGACACTTTGGTTCTGTCACTATTTCTCGGCACTCAAAAGACCGCATACGCCTTAAAAAAAAAAGGTTGCTTCATATATTTACAATTTTTGCAATCCTCTCCAAGGGAACCATGCTCTTTATCTCAGGAGTAATCACAAAAATCAAGACGGCATTAAAACAGAACTTATCATTAAAACAGAACTGAAGTCAAAGGGGGACTTTGATACTGCATATGATGTAGCAATGTGCCCTTTAAAGAAACTCATTGTTTTTCAGCCAAGGGATTGGCCAGGCCAATTTTACTATGGGCAAATCATATACGAATCATCTAAGAAGTTTATCAGCTCTTATCCTGGGTGATCAGACACTCCTCCGCAACAGGAACATATTTTAACAGGTCTTTCCTCGTACTGTTACTCAATGACATATGGTATTACTAGAAATCTCTCGAAGAACAACTTGCCACAAGAAACATCACAGACATTCATTCTATCTGTAGTACCAACTATTGGGCCACTTAACATCTCCTAAAAGGCAGAGAACATAGAGTTGATTCCTACCATCAGTTTTTCAAAAACAGTATATGAAACAATTTTCCCAAGACGCAAATTAGCAGGTAATCCCAGACTCTGCAGACTTATACGATGCACTTTAATGGCACTGTAATGGCCAAGTTATCCAGGTTCAAAAAGTTGAGTATAGGATCCTACCCACTTTATTAGAAAGCTATATACCTTTGGTGTTGTCAGTATATAACATTTCTTTCAAACATAATTTCTTTGAGTGCTCAAGTGCAACGATCAGAACTTGGATCATGTTTACTTGCCTCCAACGCCGGCACTGTAACAAAGCACCACTTGTTTTGATCAACATCTACTCTCACTGGGGAAAACACGCTCTACAACTGTATAACCTGCTTAGGAATTTCTATCGCCAGTTTTGGTGAATATGCCGTGGAAAACACCCATAGCATACTCTGTTCGCAAACAAAAAGTTCTGATACTATTGATTAATTTAGGACGAAGGAAAAGTAAATTTTCCAGTCAAAGGATAACCAGTCCCACTACAGGTCATTTTTCACCAAACCTAAGAAGTTTTCTTTCTCGCACAATCAACTTCGCGTGTTAAAAGTAAAATGTGCTCAAGTACTGTCCTTCATGTTTCTAAAAGTCTCTCAGAGTCCAGGACAAAG